ACATGTAGAGTGTTCACCTCCTGCTGGTTTAGGCTTGAGAAAGGAGGACTGGTGGAGGAAAAGCTGAGAGCCGGCTGAAGCCTCAGCCATGACTGAGGGGTCAGGACATGGATGTTTGGAGCCCTGTCAGCTCTGAGTGTGAGACAGGCCCCAGCCAGGAGCTGCAGGGAAATGTTCAATCAGAAACTGGCTGTGGACTTGTTTTTAGGCTGGAGGGCAACAGGAAGTGGCTGGGAGACAGTGTGGGAAAAAAGGGCTGGGGGTCACTGCACCCAGCCACACCGCTCTCCAGTGCTCTGAGCCTCTTTCTGTCCTGGGGTCTCCCCCATGCTATTCTCAGCCTGGACTGCTCCCCTTTCTGGGCCTGGTCAACTCCTCTTTCTGCTTCAGGTCTCAGTCTGATGTCACTTCCTGAGAGAGGCCCTCCCTGCCCCTGAGTCTAATTGCATCCTCCTTTCCTCCCCAACCCCCCCCCCACCCCCTGTTACACACTCATAACGCAGTGCACTTTCCATTCACAAACTGCACGGAGCTCAGAGATACACACTGTGTGTTAACATGTCATCAACAACTGTCTCCTTGTCACTGGAGTGGAAGCTTAAGGGGACAGGACCCGCGTCTGTGGCTCACTATTGTCCCTTCAGTGCCTGGCCCAGTGCTTGGCACATGGGAGCCATGAAATGAATGAATGGATGAATGAGTGAATGAAAGAGACCAGGAAGGAAGGAAGGAAGGAAGGAAGGAAGGAAGGAAGGAAGGAAGGAAGGAAGGGAGGGAGGGAGGGAGGGAGGAAGGGAGGGAGGGAGGGAGGGAGGGAGGAAGGAAAGATTGTTCTGGATGGAGAAATGAACCTAGGATTCTCTAAGAACATGTGGTCTCACTAGTAATTATCATTTCAGCCTCTCAAATCTGTTTCCAGCGCTGTGGTGCATTTTATTTCATCACATCTATGAGGTGAATATGGTAGTCCTGTTACAAAGATAAAGAAACCAAGTCTCATGGCCTAAGTCAGTGGCGGATCCGGTGGGGAACCCAGGCTGCCCAGGCATTTTTCTGCCCCTTTACTTCCCCGGTCCAATTCATGTCCCCACACCCCTTTCCATTGCTCTCCCTCCCCGTCCCTGCCCTCTGCCCAGAAATGACCCCAGGGCCTTACCCCAGATACTTGAGGCGGCAGTTAGACTGCCTGAGTCCTTCAGAGAGCAGCCTCACACCGAGGTCGCCCAAGTCGTTCTGCTGCAGGTCCAGCACTATCAGCATGACGTTGTTACTGAGCATGGAGACCAGGTCCTGGCAGCATCCAGATGTGAGGCCACAGCTGACGAGCCTGTGGGAGAAAAGCACATGGGCCGGGAGTCATTGTTCACAGGCCCTCTCCTCAGGGTAAAGGGGGGGTCTGATTTCCATCTCTAGCACCTGTGGCCCTTTGGGGGTCCTTGGTGACATAAAGGAAGATAAACGCGTGTCTGGTTAATAGTAATCCCGGAGATTTTAATCTTCTCCTGCAGCCAAGGAGCCCCTGAGGATCAGAGAACCTCCCTTTCTCACTCCTGTGAGATTCCCAACAATCTTGCAACTCCCCACATCAACATTATATGATTTATTTATCCAATGTTCCATTTGTGCACTCGGTCTGATTGTTAGCTACATCGGCCCTACCAAATGCCCAGGTAGCTGACACAGGATTCTTTGGTGGGTTTCAACACTAGGGTGTCTACTTGCTTCCACCCAAAATCACCCCATCCTACCTAGCTCTCAGCTTCTCCCTGACCCAGGGTCTTAGGCAGCTCCCTCTCCTCCTTTGCCCACCCCTCAAAGCAGTGTCAAAGAGGAGCAATTACAGCAGCCACCACAGCTTGCAATGAGAATGTGTCAGCTCCTGGAATAGGTGCCGGGCTCCGGTGTCCTGGAGCTTGTTGAAGCTCAGGTCCAGCTCTATCAGGTGCCAGTTGTCGCTCAGCACATGGGCAAGGACCCTGCAGTCTTCTGCTGTGAGGCCGCAGTTGGCCAACCTGTGGGAGACAAACAATGATAGCCTTGCGTTTCCTCACCTGTTGATTCCACAGACACCCATGAGCACCCATGGGCACCTCTTTTGAGTCAGGCAGTAAGTAAGACCTCCAGATCCCCAGAAATGCACAGGTACTGGGGGATTGACATAGAAACACAGACAAAAAATCTTAAAAGAAGCAAGAGAAAAGCAGTTACTTACCTACAAAGGGGTTTCCTTTGACTGGAATCAAACCCAAAACCCTTCAGGCCACAGGCTGACGCTCTATCCACTGATACAAACCCAGTTTTCATGCAGCCCTTCTCTTGTCCTTCTGTCCCAGAAGGGCCAGGGCTTTTTTCTCCTGTGCCTTTGATTCCACACCCTCCTGCCTCCCCTCTGACGTTGTTCTTTCTGGAATCCCCCTTCAGACCTCCAATCTCTCCTTTACCAATTCCTTCTGCTTTGTCCATGTACTATGCTCAGTTTTACATGTCCATAACAAGCAAAGCACCCAGATCCTTGAGTCTAGCATATTCAACTGATTTCCAGAGAAATCTAATTATTAGTTAGGACTTTGTTCAGAGTTCTCAGATATTCCTACATCCAAAGGCAGTAAAGCTTTCAGTTCTTTCATATAGAATCAACTTTTGTAGTGAGGAAATATTCACATCTGCCTGATCCATCATTAGTTCCCCTGAAAAATCTCTTTTATTGCACTGCCCCACTGAGTCAGCATGAATTAGATCCTGACTTTCATGATGAAGTGCTGAAGGTGGTGCTGGGCTGTGGGATCACAGTTCCAGTCCCAGTTCTCCCATTTCTAGCTGTTTAAATTTGAGCAAGTTGGTTCACTCCACTGAGCTTCAGTTCTTACTATCTGGAAAATGGAAATCATTGTTTCTGCTCTGCCATTTTCATAAGGTTTTTTGAAGATATATATATATATATATATATATATATATATATATATATATATATATATATCTTGAAGTAGATACAGAATTGATATTTAGATTGTAAAGTTCTATCGCAACGTAAGCAGTACATTGTAGCTTGGTGTCTCTCCACTTGTTGTGAAGTTTAAGGTAGAATAAAGTTTTCTGAGACCTTTTCAAAGGCTTTTCCTCATGGATCAGGTGGTCCTTATTAGAAGGGTTTTAGGAAAGGTGAAGAAGCCTCATGTGGATACAGGAGGCCCCAAAGACTGGATTTGTTACCATCCTCTCTTGCTCAACTTATGCTACCAGGACTCTTCTTTAATGAGCAATTCCTTGACCCTCTTCTTTCTCCCAATTTCTCAGCACCTTCCTTTTTTTCATTTTGCTTGGAATCTAGCTTAAATTCTATGATATGTCATTGGTAATATCACTGAATGACTTACTCTCTTACCTCTCACTATATCCCTCTAGCTAACCCAAACTCTGCCATTGTCCCACTACCCTACAATCACTCCCACCAGAGTAACAAGCGTGGTGGCTACAATTATGAATTGCATGGGCTTCAACCATGCCTGGAAGGTGGAAATCTCCCACTCTATAAATCTCCCACATCAATATTTTACTTCCCCAAGTCTCCAACACCCCATCCTCACACTCATTGTCAGTAAATAACTGAATTTCTACTTCACAGGGAAGAGTGGAGACATTAGGTTGAGAAAGTTTCCTCTTTTCTTGTTAAGTGAAAAGGTGTTATTAATGTGAAAGGTATTGACTTTGTCAAATACTATGTCTATGTCTATTGAGATGATCATGTACTTTTTGTCCTTCATTATATTAAAATGATGTATTGTATTGGTCAATTTTCCTGAGTTAAACCAGCTTTGCATTCCTGGGATAAGTCCCTGTTTGTCATGCTTTACCATCCTTTTTATTTGTTTTTAGTATTTTGTTGAGAATTTTCATATCTGTATTCATAAGAGATATTGGTTTGTAGTATTTTTAATGCCTTGTGATGACTTTGCTTGTCTTTGTGTGATTTTGATATCAGGGTAATGCTGCTGTCATCGAATGAGTTGGCAATTATCCCCTCTTCTATTTTTCTTTTTCAGAGTTTGAGAATATTGTTGTTAATTCTTCTTTAAAGGTTTGGTACACTTAATCAATGAAGCCAACTGGGCCTGGGCTTTCCTTTGTAGGAATTATTTTTTTTTAATAATTTAATCTCTTTACTTGTTATAGGTTTATTTAGACTTTCTAAATCTCCTTGAGTCAGTTTCAGTAGTTGTGTTTTTCAGGAAATGGTCCATTTCATTTAGGTTATCTAATTTGTTGGCTTATAGTACTTAATATTTCTTTAAAGTTCTTTAAAATTTTTTTCTGTTAGGTCAATTGTGATTACCTCTCTTCCATTCCTGATATTAGTAATTTGAATTGTTTCTTTTTTTATGTAGTCAGTCTAGCTAAAAGTCTGTCAATTTTGCTGAGTTTTGAAAAGAACTAACTTTTGGTGTTATTATTTTCTGTATTTTTTTTTTTGTATTCTCAGTTTTATTTATTCCCACTCTAGTTCATATTATTTTCTTTCTTTGGCTTCCTTTTTTTTTAAGACTTTTTATTTATTTCAGAGAGGAAGGGAGAGGGAGAGAGAGAAACATCAACGATGAGAGAGAATCATTGATTGGCTGCCTCCTGCACGCCCCCTACTGGGGATCTAGCCCACAACCCTTGACTGGAATCAAACCCGGGACCCTTCAGTGCGCAGGTCAATGCTCTATCCATTGAGCCAAACCAGCTAGGGTCTGCTTGCTTTTTGTTATATTTTCTCCTTTTATTATTTCTTTTTGATTTTTAAAGTGGAACTTTAAGTTATTGATTTGACTTTCTTCTTTTTCTCCCCCTTCTCTCCCTCTAACCACTTCTCCTTTCTTTCTTAAATATATTTTTGTCTTGTTTGAATAGTTTTAGTTTTCAAAAACATTTGGACATAAATACAGAGATTTCCTACATAGCCCTGCCCCCATATGCACACCTCCCCCATTATCAACACCAGGCAGCAGAGCAGTGAATTTGTTGCAATCAATGAACCTACATTGACACATCATGATCACCCAAAGTCCATAGTTTACATTATGGTTCCCTTTTGATGCTTTATAGTCTATGTTTTTTGACAAATATAAATGACATACATCCACCATTGTAGTGTCATACAGAATAGTCGCTACACTCTATCATTTTTCTCCCCCCCCCAGCCACAGGCAATTACTGATTTTTTTACTGCCTTCATATTTTTGTTTTTTAAAGACTTTTACATTGTTGGGATTATACAGCATGTAGCTTTTCAGGTTGTGTTTTTTTATACCTAGTAATAAGAATTTATAGTTCCCCCCTGTATTTTCATAGCTTTATGGCTCATTTTTGCACACTGAGTAATATTCCATTGTATGGATGTACCACAATTATTTATTTGCTCGCCTACCGACAGCCATCTTGATTGTTTTCCAGTTTGGGCAATTATAAATAAAGCTGCTTTAAACATTGGTGTGTAGGTTTTTGTATGGATATAGGTTTTCAACTCCTTTGGGTAAACACCAAGGAGCATGATTGCTGGATCATATGGTAAGGGTGTGTTTCCTTTTGTAGGAATCTGCAAAGTGGCCATATTATTTTATATTCCTACCAGCAATGTATGAGGGTTCCTTTTGCTCCACAACCTTGTCAGCATGTGGTGTTGTCAGTGTTCTTGATTTTGGCGATTCCAATGAATGTGCAGTTGTATCCCCATTTCTGTTTTAAATCTAGGCATTCATATCTATACATTTCTCTGTCAGCACTGATTTAGCTGCATCAAATAAGATTTGGTATGCTGTGCTTTTGTTTTCATTCATCTCAAATACTTTTTAAAAATATATTTTTATTAATTTCAGAGAGGAAGGAAAAGGGAAAGAGATAGAAACATCAATGACGAGAGAGAATCATTGATAGGCTGCTTCCTGCACACCCCCTACTGGGGATCGAGCTGGCAACCCGGGCATGTGCCCTTGACCAGGATCAAACCTGGGACCCTACTGTCCGCAGGCCAATGCTCTATCTAATGAGCCAAACCAGCTAGGGCTCAAAATACTTTTATTTATTTATTTGTTTGTTTATTTATTTTTCATAAATTTTAAAAATATATTATTTATTTCAGAGAGGAAGGGAGAGGGAGAGAGAGCATTAGTGATGAGAGAGAATCATTGATTGGTTGCCTCCCACACACCCACTACTGGGGATTGAACCCACCACCTGGGCATGTGCCCTGACCAGGGATCATAACCTCTGGATTTTTGGGTCAGTGCTCAAACCCTAAGCCACATTGGCCTGTGTCAAAATACTTTTAAATTTCCCTAATGATTTCTTTTTCCACCCATTGTTTATTTAGGAGTATGTTGTTTCATTTCAATATATTTGTGAATTTCCTAAATTTCCATCTGTTACGATTTTCAATTTCATTTTATTATGTTCAGATAAGATAATTTGTATGATTGTAATTCTTTTAAATTTGTTGAGTTTTGTTCTATGGGGCATCTTATTTTTGTTTACAGCTTTATTTGATACTTGTTGGACATCTCCCCTTGGTACCTCAAAGGAACTTGACACATGCACAAAATCACACCCATGACATTCCATCCCCTCCCACCCTTCTTTCAGTATTTCCATCTCAATGAAGGTGCCACTATCCTATGCATATCTCTGGCCTGAACCTAAGATCATCTTCTATATCGCCATCTTCCTTTCCCCATAAATCCAATTCATTACTCAGTCTGGTTGATTTTACTTTTCTTCAGATCTCTTACATCCATTCACTTCTTTCCATTTTCATGGCCAACACAGTAGTCTAAGACACCACCATTTCTTGGAGAAACTTTGTTAATTTCCCTAGGCCCAAGCTCTCACCATCTTTACAGGAACAACTGAAACTTTCCTAAGAACCGGTTTTCCAACCTCTCTTGTTGCTGTCCTCCATTCTGGATTTTATATGGCAGTCTGCTTCTACTGATCATATGAATCTTTTGATTATAATCGCATTGCATTAGAAAAAAACAACCACCCCAGATTCCAACAGGCCTTGCATAGATAGTCTGGCTTCCTGATCTCTGTAGCCTCCTCCTGTGGCTCCTTTGCTCTCCATCCTCCAGCCTCACTTGTCTGCTTTCAATCCCATGACAGCCCATC